CAGACTTCCCAATAAGGTGCTTAGAGCAGGCAGAGAGGCAGGCTAGGGGACAACCCTCCTCCCCACTTGGTCCTTTGCCCATCCCCAGATGCCAAAATATGGAGGCCTTTACTTCAGTGAAGCCACAATTGACAGGCTGGGCAGGAACAGCTTTGCCTTTTTCCTCTCTGTGTCCATGGAAGTTGGATAGGATTACTTCCAGCCCTGCTTTTCTCACAGGCCCTTACACACCAGCAGACACCCTCCCCAGACAGGGGATTTCCTTTCTTAGAGTGAAGCTTTGTGTTTTAGTCCACCCTCCTGACCCCTACCCCTGACCTATAGCTCCCTGAAGTGGAGGGAAGAGGAGAGGTCTGTTGTGCACAGGGCAGTTTAAAGATGAGTAATCCTGACGAGTGCTTTCCAACCCCTCGTATTCTTTCTATTTGCTTCCTCTCAGCTAGGAGATTCCCTGTCCCCACCTTCAAAGAAATTTACCTTACGAGTGTTTTGGAGTATGTTAATACTCATCCTGAGTTGTCTGTCTGTGTGATCCTAACTGCTTTCTATCCAGATTTTTATCATAATTTCTGCTGCTTTTTCTGCTATCATTTCTGTCTTTTAAGGGATTTATGGTGGTAGGGTGGGTCTATGTTCATGTTTAGTTCTCCATTTTGATTTGAGTCCTGTTCCATATGATCTTTCCTCTTGATAATGAAATTGCTGACAACAAATTGTGCTGCTGGAATATAGCTCTTTGTTCATTAAGATGATTTCATTTAATAAAAAGTGCCAGACACTTACGTATAGTATCGCTCTGAAGCCTCACAACAATCTTGTAACATAAGCATCAGAATCCACATTTGGTTGATGAGGGAGCTGAAATTCAGGAAGGTTAATTGAATTAATTGAGGTCAGATGGCTAATAAGAAATAGGCCTAAATCTGACTCCAAGACCACTTTATCCCGCTACATATTATTTTTAAATGTCTCTGCTGTATTCATTTTCTCTAGTTTTCAGTATGTTTATCTTTACTTCCCCCATTAATATATATGGGCCTTGAGAGTAAGAACCCTGGCTATAGTTCATTATTTCCATTATGAGATGCCTGATTTCCTGTTTTACAAGCCGCAGTCAGTTTAAATTTTGTAAACCAACTCGATAAAACAACTAATTACAATATGCTATAATAACAACATATTGCAACTGTACATTACAGGGGCAGAAATGCTTTATTTGGGGTCTTTAAATGTTTTCTTACATTCAGTCCACTGAATTAAAGACTTGGTGGCAAGTCGGAATTAAAATCGGAGGAAAGGTCAAAGTTCAGCTCTGGTTGGAGTTGTTATGGCAATTCTCTGAGCAATGAGTCTGCATAAACAAGAGAGAGCGCAGGAGGAAATACCTATTGATCTCTAATATTAGCTCTAGCTAATCGTTTTTCTGCTTCTTCAATAGAGCAGTATGTTGAGATGATGAGAATTATATTCTTTCATGTATTCCATTACATTCACTGTCATATCATTCTCTGGAAGTCTGCCTCAGGAAATAACAAACTTTCTGAAGGGGACAGAATCATGCTTTGACATTCCTAAGGATGGTGTCACCTGCGTTGGTTCCTTCTGATCCCATTTGGTTCATCTATTCATTTATTCATTGAGCACCTACGACTTTGGAGGCAAAATAAAAGTACCTGGGAACTTTCCCCAAATACCACGATCAGTTTTTACTCCTAGACCGATGGTGCCCAGATTCATATATTTTTAAAGCTGCTCAAGCAATGATAATACATACAAGGGTTGAAAAACCACTGCCCCATGATATATTACAAATTGTGTTAACTACTGGGGATACAAATAAAAATAATAATTGCTAATATTTATTGAGTGCATACCATATGTCAGGAACTGTTTTATGTGCCTTATATGTATTAACACATTTAATCCTGATAACAACCCTAGAAGGTAGCTATTACTCCCATTTATAGATGAGGAAACTGAGACACAGAGAGATTAAGTAATTTGGCCAGAGTTATACATTTAGCAAGTGGTGGAATCCGGTGCTGGGGTCCACGCCCACTGCTCTCTAAACTATCAGTAGTATCATGGTCTAGTAAATAATGATAAGACAGTAGATACCTATCAAGGACACCTAAAGTGGGAGGTGAGAGAAGGAGGTAGGGGCAGGAAGGCTTCCTGGAGGAGGTGGTACCTTAATTAAGTAGAGAAGAATGGGAACCAGCAAGAAAAGTGGAGGAAGAGCTTTTTAGGTTCTTGCCTCCCCTGCCTTGCTAGACAACCTGCCTCCTCACCTCCTAGGAATTCCCTCCTCTCTATTCCCCGTGCTGAAAACACTGGAATGTCCACAATTCATCCTTAACACGCCTAACATTTCTACTGGGAAGACTGAAGTCATGCACAATTACTCATGCAATTTTTCCTCCTGACAATAGGTCCTTCTGTGAGCCTCTCATTCACATATATAAAGCTCCACTCTGTTTTTTTTTGTTTGTTTGTTTTGTTTTTTTTTAAAGTCTTTGTTATAGGAACAATTCACAAACGTGTCAAACACACATTGGTTCCCACCCCCTTCTCCTGTCCCCTCACCTGATTGGGAGACTAGAAAATAATCCCCTGGCTTGCCAGGGGCCTGTGCCCACTTGCCGACTCTGCCCCAATGGAAGCTAACCCTGCTTTTCACTTTGCTTCTCATCAAGTGTGGCTCTAAGCTGAAGTTTGAGGTTAACCTCAGGGAGGGTTTAGACACCACACCTGCCACCCCTCTGCCTGGCCCCAGGGGCAGGGACAGACTTTCTGTTGAGGAAAGGGAAATGCTCTTGTGCTGCTAATTAACTGTGGGAGGAAAGGAAGCTCTTTCCAGACACCAAAAATACCAAGGACCAACATTATAAAAAGCAGTCTTTGTGCTAGCCAGCCCCATCATTCAGCACAGCCTAGGCTGGGGCCGGAGGGAAAAATAACTCCTCTCGCAGCCCACAGGGTCCCTGCATCTCAAATGGATGCCTCAGGAGGCCATGCCCTGAGTGAATGTCTGCTGGGGGACAGAGGTCCCAGGAACATGGATGGAGGCTGCCTGCCCTTAAACCACAGGAAGCAGTCTGAAGCTAGCATGCTTATGGATGATTTGGGAGTCTTTGCTAGAATAGCCATAGGCCCGTTGCGTAAGTGAAAGGGTGAAGAGTGCAGGTCTGTTGGGGTTGAGGCGGAACTGTAGGAGATTGCCCCAGAGTCTAGGTAATCTCACCACAGCAGTTCCCTTTCCCACCCTGTGCTTATCAAACTAGGGGCCGAGCCTCACTTTAAATGTAGAGAAAGAAGTGTCACCATCTGGCCTTTCCAATTCCCTTAGGCTTGGCTGCTATAGGCCCAAAAAGAGTCTGCAGCATGTGGCAGACTCAAGTCCAGAGGGTGATCTTGGGGGAACGGTTGAGTTGCTGCAAAAATTGGATTTGGCCACAGGCTGGGAATTGGAGGCTTTCACAAACAGGAAGGCAGCAGGGCCATTTGGCTGGGACTGTAAGCTCAAGTGGCTTCAGAATTTGGCTGCTGATCAGTGTAGGGGAATGAGGTAAAACATGAGGGTGGCCCCAAGGATTGAGGACCTTAGAATCTGAAGGCTGCCAGAGCCACACTGAAGTTCTTAGAGGGCCTGTTTTCATGGTCTGTCTTACTTTACAGAGGCTGGGACAGATTCCCAAGACTAAATTGCCAAAACCAGGAAGTCAGGGTACTAGGATTTCATACTAGGCATGCTTCCCAGTCTCTCACTCCAACATTTCTGCATCTGGGCAGACAAGGGGAAAATTCTTCCATTATGATACCACATGTACAGGATCCTTAGCAGCTATGTGTGTGGTGGCACATCTTTCTTTTCTTCCCTCCTGTTGATACAGGCTCTCTTTATAGACTCCTCAAGTGTCAGAGCCAGAAAGATTTTAGAAGCAAGGTAGACCAATTCTTTTGACAGGAAAAGAGACGGAAGACTGGAGAGAAGTGACTGGCACAAAGGCACACAGCTGGTTAATGAAGCCAGGTCTTCTGACAACCGGTCCAGGGCTTTTTCCATAATGCCACACCCTTGCTAACAAATAACATTTGTGTCTCAGGGGCTCTTGCCCATTCCCTATTCTGTTTCCCATTTTCCTCACTTCCATGCACAGGGCCTTAAACTGGACCTTGTATATGGTAAGATGACTTTCTGAAAAGCTTCTGCTATTGGGTATCCTGACAAAAAAATGTTAGGTTAGAAAGAAAGAAGTCATGGCCAGTGAAACGCAGACGGACCAGGGTGGAAGAGCAAATTCCCTGACTCCAAGGCCTTGTTGCTCCAAGTTGTCCATGGACCAGGAGCCTGGGCATCATCCGGGAGTCCCATCCTAGACTTGCACTTTCACCAGATCCCTAGATGATCCAAATATACATTAAAGTCTACGCAGTACTACTTTTAGGTAAGGCTCTGCAAAAAGTCCTCCCCCTCCCCCTGCTGCCCAAATGCTTAACCCCCCTCCTCCCTCCTGCTCCTCCACCCCTCTGTCCTCCATCCTAAATTCTGACTTCTCTTGAAATTTAAAGCCATGGCGGGGTGGGGATGGTGTTATATTTTAAAAGGGGACTCAAAAGGGGACTTATTTTTTTTAGAAAAATAAAATATAGCCAATTTGAAAAAACTTTTTGCAGCTCCAATGTCATGTTGTTAATGTAGAAATATAAACATCTACTATGTTTATATTGGCTTGCTTGTAAAATCATCATCTTTGGTTATATTTAGAAACTTGATGGCTTGGAAAGTATACTGAAAAACTCTGAGAACAAAAATATTTTTCCCCTTAACTCTCTCTGGAAAAAAAAAATCTCTTTAAAAAAATCCTGAAACATCTTTTCTCTACTTTCTTTTTTTTTGATTTTAACATGTTCTCAACTTTATTGAAATCATCAATATCCCAGACACATTTATCATTTTTAAAAAATCAATTTAATGCTATCAAAAGGTGATGTCCAATTTAATCCTGTTTGCCTTCACGCCATTGTCGTGAGCCTTCATTCCAGGCCACATAAAGAAAGAGGGCAAACACCACATGGACGGCGACCACCGCAACAATAGCAGCATAAAAATAGCTGTCCCTATTGGACATCCCAAAGGCGCCTTCAAAAACATAAGATTTAGTCGTGAAATATAACCCAATAGGTACAGTGATCATTAGAGCTGTGAAGAACAGGAGCGTCTTCAGGGTAGATGCCAGTGAACTTTCATTTCTGAGGTCGGGCGGCTGCACCGCATTCGGCGCCCTTTTATCAAGGCTCTCCATGGTGTAGCCGCGCCCGCAGCAGATGCTGGGGGCGGGCTGGCCTCGGTACCGCACTCCCTCCACTCGACAGGCGACCGGTAGAGGCATGCCACGCCGGAAGTGCCCTTTTCCCTAGTTTCTTATTCCCAAACACCATTACGCATTTTTTCCTCTTACCTTTCCCCAGTTCAATTCCCTCATTTTGTTGACGTTTTTTAAAATACAATTTTTCTTATTACACACTTATTCCTTAGGGAAAAATTAGGGTATACAGAAGCAAAACACAAGCAGAATCCCATTGATGTAGAAACAACTATATACCTTTTATAAAAAATTATCTGAAACTTTTTTATATGTATTTGTTAACAAAAATGGGATAATTCAGAACATCATAATTAGTATGTAGTTCCTTTTAAGTGGAACTATGAATTACTAACTTCTTTACATCTGCAAACATAAAAATGAACATTTTTATTAAGTTCTGCCATGTGGATTGTACCATGATTTATTTAATAATATTTCTATCGCTATTAGGTAGTTCAAACTTTTCACTACTAAAAATAGTACTGCACATCCTTAATGATTTTCTTACCTTAAAAAAATGCTTTCAGGGGCGCCTGGGTGGCTCAGTCGTCAAGCATCTGCCTTCAGCTCAGGTCATGATCCTGGAGTCCTGGGATCGAGCCCCGCATCAGGGCTCCCTGCTTGGCTTCTCCCTCTCCCACTCCCCCCCCCCCACCGTGTTCCCTCTCTTGCTGTGTCTCTCTCTGTTAAATAAATAAAAAATCTTCAAAAAAATTAAAAAAAATTCTTCCATTAAATCATAAATGCACTATTACACTTGTGAAAAAAAATTTTAAATACAGAGAACGCTAAATTTCTTTGACCGTCATTCCCAGTCCTGGTTCCCAACCCACCTTCCCAGAGGTAACCACTGTTACCAGATTTGTATGTAGTTTTTTTTTTTTTAAGATTTTATTTATTTATTTGACAGAGAGAGACACAGCAAGAGAGGGAGCACAAGCAGGGGGAGTAGAAGAGGGAGAAGCAGGCTTCCTGCAGAGCAGGGAGCCCGATGCGGGGCTCCATCCCAGGACCCTGGGATTAGGACCTGAGCCGAAGGCAGATGCTTAACGACTGAGCCACCCAGGCGCCCTGTATGTAGTTTTGTACATATTCTCCCAGACCATTTTTTATGCATTTAGTGCATATGTATATAGCTGTAAGGAATAAATTACTATTTCAAAGTTTTGGCTCATTGGTGGTTATTTTGCACACCAATGGTATAAGACCTATCATTCCTCAAATTGCCTTTCTCACTTAATCAATTTTGGAGTGCTTGCTGCATTAACACTTACAGATCTACTTCGTTTATTTTGGCTGTTGTCTAGTATTTTGTGTCACGAACAGAACGTGGTTTATTAGCATGTGTTGGATGAATTGACTTTTAGGCTATTCCACTTTTTTTTTTTTTAAGATTTTATTTGTTTATTTGACAGAGAGAGATGCAGCGAGAGAGGGAACACCGGCAGGGAGAGTGGGAGAGGGAGAAGCAGGCTTCCCGCTGAGCAGGGAGCCAGATGCTTGATCCGAGGACCCTGGGATCATGACCTGAGCCGAAGGCAGATGCTTAACGACTGAGCCACCCAGGCGCCCCTGGCAGTTTCCACTTTTTATCTCTTATATAAAATACACTTATACATGCTTCTTCATGTACACTTGGGAGTGTGTCTTTAGGGTAGATTCAGAGAAGTAGCATTGTTGAATCTTAGGATCCCACTGACTTCCTTCTATGTATGAATGAGAGGCAAAACTCTTTTGGAAGATCCTGGAAGAAAATACAGTTCTTAAAAGCCTGAAAAATGATTTTGCCCCCTAGCTTTGTTCTTGGCTTCCAATGTTATCTTGAGGTTTCTAGCTAGGGTAGATGGATGCGACCGAACAAGGAAAAGGACATAACAAGCTTTTGGGGGAAAATAAGAAGGAGGTTTGGCTGAATTTAAGATGTTGCCTTATAGGAGGGAAGAGTGCTTGTGGTGCATGGCAGATGGGGAGTACTCTCCCACTTCTCTCTCTCTCTCTTTTTTTTAAAGATTTTATTTATTTATTTGAGAAAGAGAGAATGAGAGACAGAGAGCACGAGAGGGAAGAGGGTCAGAGGGAGAAGCAGACTCCCTGCTGAGCAGGGAGCCCGATGTGGGACTCGATCCTGGGACTCCAGGATCATGACCTGAGCCGAAGGCAGTCACTTAACCAACTGAGCCACCCAGGCGCCCTCTCCCACTTCTCTTGTTCCAGCTGCCCCACTCCCACCGTAACTCAGTGAATCCAACTGTCAACCCAAGTTTTGATGGGTGCATATGGATACAGAGCATAGCATTAGCGTTACAAGGATTTCAGTAGATGACATGGTCTCTACCCCCGTGAAGGTGAACAGACATCCATTCATGGGAAGATGTATTAACACTTACAAGCCATACACTGTACTACCAAGTAAAACTTAGTGTCAAGCAAACTGAGTACAGCCACCATTACTCCTGAGGGAACAGTAAGTCCTTTGTACCTTTCACCTGGATTATTGCCCCAGGTTTTCACTTGGTCTCCTTACCTACAATCTCTCCCTTTCAACCTATCCAGCTGACTGCTGATAAAGTAATATATGAAAAGGTCACTTTTACGGTATCTGTGATCTTATTCATGCCCTACTCCTCTTATTGTCTGGTAGGCTTCCCTTCATCCTTTACGACTCAGCTCAATAATGTGATCGTAGTAGGTGCACCTGAGTGGCTCAGTCAGTTGAGTCTCCAGAGTCTTGATTTCGGCTCAGGTCTCAGGGTTGTGAGATCTAGCCCAGTGTTAGGCTCTGCACTCTGCGCAGAGTCCGCTTGAGATTCTCCCTCTCCCTCTGCCTTCCCCTCCCCCGCTCACATTCTCACTCTCTCTCTCTCTCTCTCTAAATAGACATAATCTTAAAAAAAACAATGTTATGGTAATCATTTGCAACATAGAAGTGTATTAAATCAACACATGGTATATCTTAAACTCACACAATGTTATATGCCAATTATATATCAATAAATTTGGGGGAAAAAGACAGCTCAAACTTTTCATTCAACATGTATTACTTAACATGTATTAAGCACATACTATGTGCATATCACCTCCACTAAAAATTTTCCTTGACTCTAAGCTCTGTAAATAACTCCCTCCCTGCTTCTTCTCTTGTAGTAGATCCCATTTTATTGTCATTACTTTTTATGTATGGATGTATGGATGTATTTTCTTCCATCCCTTTTTATTTTATTTAAAAATTTTTAAATTGGAGTACAGTTGACACACAATGTTATCTTGCTTTCAGGTGTACAACATAGTGATTACTTATTTTTTTTTTTCTGGCCTATGTCTACCCCAAACTGTGAGTTCTTAAAGTATAGGGTCTGTATCTTATCCACCTCTGAACCCCCAGTACCTAATATGATGCTGGGCATGTGGCTGATGCTTAATAAATATTTGTTTGACAAAAACAATGAATAAATGAGCTTCCCAGAAGTGTGTACACTGGTTCTCAAAGTACTTTTAAGATCTGCAGGTTAACTTTTGCTTAGAGAAGAAACCGTGTTAGGTAGCAAGAGCAGAGATAGTCTTTGAGGTGACTTGTCCTAGATCCTGAAAGTAGTAGAGGGTGGGGCTGGTACTTGCCCCAGTCTAAATCTTTTCATTTTATATTTCAAATGCACAGTCTATATCACTGTTGCAATATAAGGGGTACTAAAGATGTGTTTATTTAAAAAAAGAAAAGAAAGCTTTTAAAAAGATGCCAGCTTTCCCTAGTTTGGAACTGGACTTTTTATTTATTTATTTTTATTTTTTTATTTTTTGGAACTGGACTTTTTAAAGCTTTCATCTAATGTTGCCTCTTGCTTAAAGCCCTTCCATGACTCTCATTGCTCCTGGGTTAAAGTTCAAGAATTTTAACTTGTCTTGCAAGGCTCCACATGGCCTGGAGATTGCCTATTTCTCCAGCATCCTTTCACATCGTTTTTCCTGGAGCTCCTTACACTCCAGCCACAGAAGTCATTTCTCTGATCCTCAAGGTCACCAAGCTTCTTCATCCATGCTTCACTGATGCTCCTCATGCCTGGAACACTCTCTGCTACAACCCACACCTGCCCCCGCCCCCCACTTCGCTAACTGCCACTCATCCTTCAGGTCTCAGTTTGGCTGTCACGGCCAAGAGAGGCCTGCCCTCAGCCACACGGGAGGATAGCTCACCCTATGGTACGCCTACAGAGTGTTCTGTCTTTTCCTTTATAACACTTACGATTATTGTCACTTGATCGTCAAGTTGTGTAATCACTGAACGTTTGTTTTTTCACCTCCTACCATTCCGATCCATGAGGACGGGATCTACATCTGTTCTGTTCACTTCTTTATTGAAAGGGTTTTACCTACATTACTTGATCTAGTTTCACAGTCCTGTGAAGTAGACATCCTCATCGCTTATTTGACAGAGGAGAAAACTGCAGGCTCCAAGAGATGTGTGGTAGAGTCAAGATTTGAGCCCAGTTTCATCTGTATTTTTGAAGGGTTAAAAGGGCTAGAAGTTCATTTATTTGGGATTTGGATTCTCAAGCCTAGAACTTAATAGGATAATAATTCTGGGTGTGCCTCTTCATCTGTATAATAGAGATAATATTACATACCTTATCTACCTCACAATTTTCCTTAGGATCAAATAAAAGAATATACATGACATGCCTGGTAGCCATAACACAGTCTACAAATTTAAGTGAAGTAAGTAGTATTTTTCATCAGACTCAAGTCTGTAACGGCTGCTGCTTATCTGGTCTGCCCACTCTGGGCATCGGTGTCTTCAGTAAAATTGTCAGTTTGAAGACACGGAATCCAGATGTCCCTGTATATTATCTAGAGAAGGTTGTTGGCCCGGACTTCTGCTGACAACTAAAAGATTAGTTGAGAATGATAGCATTCATCTTAGAGGATGAGAACTATACATTTAG